CCATTGCACTACCAGGGCCCCTACTGGAAGCTTAGGTGAGTAAAAATTGCTAACTATTTAATATTAAATATAACCAGTATCCAGTTGCCATGGAGTCAACTCCAACTCATGGCGACCCCGTGTGTTACAGAGTAGAACTGTGCTCCACGGGGTTTTCAAGACTGTGATCTTTCATCAGCAGATTGCCAGGCCTTTCTTTAGAGGCGCCTCTGGTAGTCAAGTGCTTAACTGTTTGTGCCACAAGCATAGCGCAGCGCTGACTAAAGGTCGTATAGAATTATTTAAAAATTCTCGTTACTGGACTACTGGGTTCAGTGTTTCAAGCAGTATTTGGATGATAAATTTAGGTTAGAACCAAAGCCAAACCCACTGCCATCAAGTCAATTCCCACTCATAATGACCCTATAGGACAGAGTAGAACTGCCCCATAGGATTTCCAAGGCTGTAAATTTTTTTTTCTATTTTTCTTTATACTTTTTCTGTTTTATTGTATTTTAGATGAAGGTTTACAGAACAAATTAGTTTCTCATTAAACAGTTAATACACATATTGTTTTGTGACATTGGTTGCCAACCCTGCGACATGCCAACACTCTCCCCTTTTCAATCTTGGGCTCCCCATATCCATTCATCCAGCTTTCCTTTCCCTTCCCACCTTCTTATCCTTGCCCCTGGGCTGGTGTGCCCATTTAGTCTCGTATACATAGTTAAGCTATGTGTATTATTGTTTGTTTTATGGGCCTGTCTAATCTTTGGCTGAAGGGTGAACCTGAGGAGTAATTTCAGTACTGACTTAAAAGGGTGTACAGGAGCCATACTCTTGGGCTTTCTCCAGTCTCTGTCAGACCAGTAAGTCTGTTTTTTTTTGTTTGTTTTTTTTGTGTGTGTGAATTTGAATTTTATTCTACATTTCTCTCCAGCTCTATCTCAGACACTCTGTTGTGATCCCTGTTGGAGCAGGGAGTAATGGTAGCCAGGCACCATCTAGTTGTGCTGGATTCAGTCTGGTGGAGGCTGTGGTAGTTGTGTTCCATTACTTCTTTAGACCAGTCTTTCCCTGTGTCTTAGGTTTTCTTCATTCTCCCTTGCTCCAGATGGGGTGGGACCAGCAGGCTTATCTTAGATGGCCGTTCACAAGCTTTTAAAACCCCAGACGATACTCACCAAAGTAGAATGTAGAACATTTTCTTTATAAACTATGTTATGCCAACTGAGCTAGATGTCCCCCAAGACCATGGTCCCCAGCCCTCAGTCTAGTAACTTGATCACTCAGGGAGTTTGGTTGTGTCTATGAAGCTTGTATGACTTTGCCTTCATCAAGTTGTGCTGGCTTTCCCAGTATTGTGTACTATCTTACCCTTCTCCAAAGTTACCATTTACCTATTGTCTAGTTAGTGTTTTTCCTTCCCCACCCCTCCCCTCCCTTGTAACCATCAAAGATTGTTTCTTTCTGTGTGTAAGCATTTTCATCAGTTTTTATAATAGTGCTCTCATACAGTATTTGTCCTTTTGTAATTGACTTATTTCACTCAGCATAATGCCCTCCAGATTCATCCATGTTGTGAGATGTTTTGCAGAGTCATCATTGTTCTTTATTGTTGCGTAATATTCCATTTTGTGTATGTACCATAGTTTCTTTATCCATTCATCTGTTGATGGGTAGTTAGGTCGTTTCCATTTTTTAGCTATTGTAAATAATGCTGCAATGAACATGGGTGTGCATATGTCTACTCATGTGACACCTCTTACTTCTCTAGGATATATTCCTGGGAGTGGGATTACTGAAGCATACGGTATTTCTATTTCTAGTTTTTTAAGGAAGCGCCATATCGTTTTCCAAAATGGCTGTACTATTTTTCATTCCTACCAGCAGTGCCTAAGAGTTCCAATCCCCCTGTAGCCTCTCCACCATTTGTTATTTTCTGTTTTTTTGATTCGTGCCAGTAATGTGGTGATAAGATGGTATCTCATTGTAGTTTTGATTTGCCTTTCTCTAATGGTTAGTGATTGAGAGCATTTCCTTATGCGGTGAAGTGTCTGTTCATATACTTTGCTCATTTTTTAATTGGATTATTTGTCTTTTTGTTGTAGAGGTGTTGGATTTTCCTGTTAGAGATTAGAACTTTGTCGGATATGTCATAGTCAAAATTTTTTCCCAGTCTGTCGGTTCTCTTTTTACTCTTTTGGTGAAGCCTTTTGATGAGCGTAAGTGTTTAATTTTTAGAAGATCCCAGTTATCTAGCTTATCTTCTGGTGTTGGTATATTGTTAGCTATGGTTTGTATCCTATTTATGCTGTGTATTGGGACCTGTAGCATTGACTGTATTTTTACTTCCATCATCTTTATAGTTTTGGGTTCTATATTTAGGTCTTTGATCCATTTTGAATTAGTTTTTGTGTATGGTGCGAGGTACTAAGGCTGTAAATGTTTACAGAAGCTGACTGCCACATCTTTCTCCCATGGAGTGGCTGGTGGGCTTGAACTGCAGACCTTTTGGTTCGCAGTCGAGTGCTTTAACAACTGCACCACTAGGGCTCCTTAAATTGAGGTTAAACCAAACCAAACCAAACCTGGTGCCATCGAGTCAATTCCAATTGATAGCGACCCTATAGGACAGAGTAGAGCTGCCCCACAGGGTTTCCAAGGGGTGGCTGGGGCATTCGAACTGCAGACCTTTGGTAAGCAGCCAAGCTCTTAACCACTGTGCCACCAGGGCTCCAAATTTGGGTTACATGTCAATAAATAAAAGGATCCAAATAATTACTTTGTGACAGATTTGCCAATATTGTAAAGAAAGATTTTTTTAAATTATGTGAATTTTGTGGCACAATTTCAAATTGAAGAATTTATTTTTGCTGAAAAAAATGATGTGTATATTTTAATGTAAGTTATCTGCAAGTCATATCAAACTCTTAATCAGTTTTGATAACAATAAACTTTAGCTGAATATATCTGTCAGTGAAGATGTCATTCAATTTATGAAGATGAGATCATTTATTGAAATTATTTACTTAGACATTTTGTCTCAGATTCAGGTACTAAAAAAATAAAATTAATAATACAATGTAAGTCTTAGTTTGCAGTTACTAAATTCAAAGGGAAATATTTAAGTTACTTCAAAAGAAATCCCGAAACTGTTTTACTCATTTGTAACAGAATATAAATCCTTTAGCATGTTTGCCAACGTAGATGATAAACTGTCACTCAGTTTGAATTGCACTAGAAATAATTATGCAGTCGGCTTGGTGTAGCTGAAATTAATTCATTTTTAATCAGTTCTAGAACCTGGAAGTTGTAACATCGTCCCACTGACGTTCCTGCGGTAGTTGTTTACTTGCAGCTCTTCAAGGCAATTTCCAAAATATGCAGGCAAAAGGACCAAATGTGGTGTTAGCTGTGGAGTCAGACTTGCTGCACAGACCAATGCAATGGAAAAATGACACTGACAAGTAGAACATCTTTTGAGATATCTATTCCAGCAGGTCTCGCCTTTGTGGATGTAACATAGATTTCTAGAGTGCCCAAATGTCAACTTAGTTCACAAATTTAGACTTATTTCAATTCATTACAGAGCTGTATTTTAATAGGTGCCTTTAATAGGTGCCAAGGAGATCAAGCAGGAAGTCATCTGCTCTTTACAGAACACATATTCTAACAAAAGAATGCTACTCTCTAGCACTGAGGATCCTAAATCATTTCCCACTAAACTCCTTCTGAGTTTTTACAAGAATTCCATCAAAGACGTGTCATACATTTCATTTTTTATTAGTACTCTATTACCATAGGAAGCATATAAATGCTGAATTTAAGATATGCAGTGCTTTGCCACCTTGATGCTAAAAAACATATTTTTTATCCCCTGACATCTTCTTTCCTTATTATTTTTTATTATTGTTGTGCTTTAAGTGAAAGTTTACAATTCAAGTTAGTCTCTCATACAAAAATTTATACATACATTGTTATGTGACCCTAGTTGCTCTCCCTATACTGTGACAGCACACTCCTCCTTTTCACCCCGGATTTCCCATGTCCATTAAACCAGCTCCTGACCCTCTCTGCCTTTCATCTAGCCTCCAGACAGGAGCTGCCCATTTAGTCTCATGTATCTACTTGAGCTAAGGAGCACACATTTCATTGGTATCATTTTATGTCTCATAGTCCAGTCTAATCTTTGTCTGAAACGTTGGCCTCAGGAATGGTTTCAATTTTGGGCTAACAGAGAGTCTGAGGGCCATGTCTTCCGGGGTCCCTCCAGTCTCAGTCAAACCCGTAAGTCTGGTCTTTTTACTAGAATTTGAGTTCTGTACCCTGCTTTTCTCCTGCTCCATCAGAGATTCTCTGTTGTGTTCCCTGTCAGGGCAGTCATTGGTGGTAGCCGGGCACCATCTAGTTCTTCTGGTCTCAGGCTGATGAAGTCTCTGGTTTATGCAGCCCTTTCTGTCTCTTGGGCTAATACTTTCCTTGTGTCTTTGGTGGTCTTCATTCTTCTTTGCTCCAGGTGAGTTGGGACCAACTGATGCATCTTAGATGGCCGCTCGCTAGGTTTTAAGACCCCAGACACCACTCACCAAAGTGGGATGCAGAACATTTTCTTAATAAATTTTGTGATGCCTATTGCCCTACATGTCCCCTGAAACCATGGTTCCCAGACCCTGACCCCTGTTACTCTGTCCCTTGAAGTGTTTGGTTGTATTCAGGAAACTTCTTAGATGCTAAAAAATATTTTCAAGAGTCAAGTCTAATCTGCGATGGTTCAATTCCAGATAAAATGAATTAGATTTTGATACCTAAAATTTCATTGTGATGGAGAGAAAGAAAAGAAAGAAACACACTGGTGCATAAGAATCTAATGTTCTTATTATAACTCACTGCTGAGTTGCCACTCAACTTTTTCAGTCATCCCGTTTACTGAATGAATGGTCGTTCTTTTGCTTTATCCTCTCTTACTACAGAAACTTCTGCCAAAACTTGAATGGGATTTATTGAGAAAAGCAATTGTTCTTGTAAGTTTATTCTGCAATTTTGCAAACTACACGCACCTTTTTATGCATGCTAGAGGCAAGGAAAATAACTTTCAGCAGTGTTTATTATTTTTTTAAGAAATTGATGGAATTGAAGGTTAAGTCACCTTCTGATTGCACAGATTAGACAAGAAAGCATTACATATTTCAGCTTTATGAAGCATCATATTGATTAAAAAGATCCATATTACTGATAAAGTTCATGATGAAACGTGTAATAAGGAGACTGAAATATTTATTTTACATATCTACAAAATGTATTCTCATATTTCTAGATCAATCACAAATCATATAGGAAAATATTTAGGTACATGAAAAAGCTTCAAAACATAAAAATTAACATTTTGAAAAAAATCACATGTGAAATTTCATTAAATAATAACATTGACAAATAAATAATCAGCTTTACTTATTAGCTGCTGCCATGCATTTCTAGCATTCCATTACAAGTGAGGGTCAGCATGCAGGCATAATTTCATACTATGAAACTGTAAAAAGCTACGGGGCTTGTTTTTGAAGTGAAATGTCACAAAGTCTTTAATTTTCTTTCAAAGGGAGGGCACTTGTGACTGCTAAACTGTTCTTATGAAAATTACCCAAAAAAAGCACCTTTCTGAAATGTTACTGTGAAGATTCATGACAACATTTTTTTTTTTAACATTTCAGTTTTGAAGGGGTTTTCGTCTGTGTGCTTATGCTGGGGATTTGGGAGATGCAGGGTAATTGACAGGCTCTTTTCTGTTTTAAAGTGTAATGATTCAATGATATATATAGTATCACCAGTCTTTTAAAAACCACTGGGGGTTAAAACAACAGGATGCGTGGAATTTCAATGCAAACTGCATGCATGGATATAGCTACATCTTGCAAAACTTGAAAAGCAAAAACTATTTCCAAAGAAGGTCCTGTTACTTAGGGCAGCTTGCTGGGTTTGATCAAAGCAGAAAGCATATATTTTCAAGTGAGAAAATAGCAATGGCAGGCTTGAGTCGTCCAGGCAATCAGATCTGTAAAGCAGATGGTTACTAGTCAGTCCAGTTTTGACAGTCTGAGTTCTAACTCATGCTCTGCTTGCTGGATTTGCTGGCTCTTTTCCGCTCTCTGTGATGCTGGGCTGGCTTGGCAGGCGGCACACTCTTAAAGTTGTGACTGGACTCATTGTGCTGCCGGGTGTACCTCTTGCACTTGCAGGCGGTGACCACCGTGATTTTGTAGGTGCGCGTGCTGCCATCTTGGCACTGCAGCTGGATCCTCTGGGTGCGCGTTTTGTCATTGACACACCTCCACTCCTGGGAGCTCCTCCTGCTCCAGTACTTCGTTCCATAGCCTCCTCCGATCCAGTTGGGGAGCACAGACAGGGGCAAGCACTCACCAGCACACACCAGCTCCTTCAGAGGGCTAATGCTGGTGCACTGGCCATCCGAGATGTACTTAGTAGAACGAAGTTCCCGGCAACCCACTTGAACCCGAGCTGCATCAGAGGCAAAAAGCAAATGAAAACTTTTTAAATGATAATAATCTGCAACGATACATAATATTCGAATGACAGCAAATTGCCAAATAGAAAGTAAACACCTATTTTATGTTTACACTGAAAATCTCCTGAATAGTTGTAGAGACACTTTCATGAACATCATCAGTTTGCCTGGCTATAACTTTCCTTGGAAAAAAACAGTGTAGGCCTTTTCAGGTGTAACAATAGCTAATTGGTTATTGAAATATTTGAAAATCTCATTTTTTCGGTCTCACTCCATAATAAGGATTAACCAGCTCTTCTATTTATATGTAAATATTCATCCTTCAAGGAACTAAAAAGAGTACACTTTAATGTTCTCTTTTTCACAGGTCATATTGTCAATGTCTGCAAGTGCTTTTAATAAAGTTTAAAGAAAAATCTGCTGAGAAAATGTGGAAAGTATTTAAATACTGTGTACAATGCATATGCATGCTGTAATATTTTCTTTCAATTATAGAATTCAGCTGCAGAGAGTAATACATACATATATGTACAAAGTCTGACATTTTTCATCTCAAACTTAATAACTATATTTTAAATATAAATTCCCAAGCTATCTTTAAAAAATACAAAGAGTAAAATGTTTCAGATGCAAAATGCCACTACAACTCAAAATTTAAAGAATATAAAAGCTCCTAAATCAGGAATGTATAGTTGCCATAACAACTTGGCTACATTTCCATGAATTTTACGGCAGAGAAATGCTTAACATGTCTGGTTTACAACTGCAGAAGGAACCACAGTGTTCATTTCCTAAGTATTGTTCATGGCAAACTTTTTGTTTAGTTATTTGGATTTGATAAGTATGTTCTCTAATTGGCTGTTTCTTGTGACATGCCTTATGTAATTCAAACAAAAATTAATCTTGAAATATTTGAAGTTGCCCTTACCACTGCTTTGTTATCTAAACTTGAGAATTGCTTGTTATAGGCTTGAAAAGAAATCAAGGCTTGTTAAACAGAAAGGAAAAAAAAAAGTTCAGAAGTCTAGGCTGTTGAAATAAATAAAGGAAAATTAAAAGGGACATTGAGGAGGTCCTGCATAGAATACTGAAAGCTAACTGCAAGTAGACATTGAATTAGGAGTTTTACTTTGTTTCTCTGCCCACTATTTCTGAGGTATGAGAGATAGCCTAAAGGGAATGTGATAGTTTTGAAAAATATTGTAGATATTTGCATACATTCATATAAATATAGAGCTGTTAAACTAAAATCAAAAGGTGAGCTAGTCGGCTGGCCAGTGTGTGCTGCCTGTCTGATTTTGATTCTGGGTTACCTTCCTGCAGCTGCATTAGGAATGCACCTGGAAGCAGCCAGAGAGGATTTTGATTTGTCTAGCTTTTTGTTCCTGTGTATGTAAAGATTCAGCATTTTTGCAGTGACAGTTCATTGACAATGAATACCCACCACATTGCTCAGTAACCTAATGATAGTCAGATATTTCCTGTGCACATTTAAAAGCAACCATCTTCATGAAGGTTAAAACATCTTGGTTTTCTTAGACATTACCAGTCGTATTTGCTTTGACTTTTCAAAGGTCAAAACTACTTTTACTAGTTGAATGGAGTTGAGGAGCAGGGGCAGGAAGATTTGTGTAAGATTTCCTGTACCCTGTGTCTCCCTGTCTCTCTCAAATCCTGATTCTTACCATGTGAACTCTTCTAAAGGCAAGGCATGAAGCAAAAGTTAAGAGCAGAAATCTGAATCCCACTAACCAGTGGCCAATTAGTTTGTCAATTAAGCAAACAGAAGAGAAAAAAAAAAAAAAAAGCTTCCTACACAAAACATTATTGTGCTATTATTTTTTTATAATCTCTGAAGTTACAAAATTTCCCCCAGTCCTTCACAGAAATATACAATTACTTAAATTTTGAGCTGGTTCATAATAAGTTATCTCAGGAAAATGTGATCCTCCAACATTTTTTAGTTTTAACTCTCTTTTACATTGATCATCAAAACTTTCAACTATTCCACTAGACAGATTTTAAAAATCCATGTGAGCAATTTCTCTTCTTTTTCCCAGAAATCTTCCTTTTGACCTTGTGCTTTCCTATACATCTTTTAGTTATCTTTACACATTTTTTCCAGAATTGCACATGTCCTGAAACAAAACTGAGAAGGCAAGCTGAACTTAACCTATCCAGAACAACACTTTCTTAAATTCTGATTCTGCAGGATTGTAAAGAAGTAACAGTTTAGCTCCTGGAAACATTTGTTTTGGATGTTTGATAAAACTTAAGTCTGTGCCTGCATTATCAAATCACTTTTGTAGCTGTTAACTTTAAAATCACTACCTAGGGAAGAATGCCAATCTACACATGCAGCAGATTTCTCCCAGATTGTTCGGCAAAACATATACAGTTCAGGTTAGTTAGCAATTAAACACTTCCATAGGAATGGGAGTTAATGCTATCAAAAAAAAAAAAAAAAAATCCATGCAAGTAAAACACACTTACTGTTCCGATCCAGTCCAGTGTTACTGAAATGCCTGCCTCCATTTCTGGCTTGATTCAACGTGCTGTTGCTGCTGGGGTTTGCTGGAACAGGTTTAACCACATGTGAATAAAGAATTTCTGTGGCATCATTTTTAAAAGCCAAACAGCTTTTCATTAGGATGCATGCAAGGGGAATGAGATAGAAATGAATGGCAGGAGGAAGCATGCTGAGTAGAGGATTTGCTTGGCTGAAGAGCTGGTTAATTCCTTCCCTTCTGCTTCAGCACTGTAACTGAAATTCCTCCTCAAGGTTCCCTTTATATATTCACAGAGGTTTGGCATTCAGTCAGGTGTAAAGTTGTGTAGAGCTTCAGAGTGAAAACACAGAGAAGGGGTGGGATCCCTCCATGACCCTGCAAAAGAATTTTACCAATGGAAGAGAAGACTGCAGAAAAGGAGGAGCTTGGTATACAAATTGCCTGAAATTTCAGAGTTGGACTTCATCACTTGTCTGTGAGCTGAAGCAGCCAGGCACATTCTATAGCAACTACAAACTGTCTCTCCTCTGCCATTTCCTTTCCAGAACCTAGCTCACATTCGGGATTAATTTAAATGAAAATATGCTGCTGTTCGCTTGAAGAGATTGGCTTTCCCACAGTTGTTTTGTACTCCCTTCAGAAGTTAGAGTACCGGGGGTGGGAAAGGGGTTCTTCCCAGATATAGCAGGAATTCCCATGAGTTTAAATATTATAGGATTTGCATGAAGTTAAGCACATTTTGTCTCTTAAGTAACACACCAAAAAAATTTTTTTTTTCTTTAAAGTATAAGACACAGAGCTAAAACCTGCCCCCTGGACACACTTAAATAATGCAGCTTTGATCTGCATGAACTACTGTGCTGCTAGGTAAATTATTGCCAGAGGTTTTCTGAGGAGAATAATGAGCATAGTTCTGTCTGAATAAAGCAACTATATCAATTTCCATCCTAATAATGTGACCAAAGCATCAACATTCATAGCATCATTTTACATGAAGGAAAGCCAATCTGACAGATTGTTTAGCAAATACAAAATAATTTTTTCTGAATTTTTTATTTGCTACACACACATGTATTCTGCTTGTATTTATTAAACATTTTGTTCATTACTTCCTTTGATGCTGATGCCCAACTAAGAAACATTGTATTTTTCTGAATTACCTTACTCACACCCAGAATAGATGTTCCATTAATTAATATTAGGTCACTGATCCCCATAACTTTAAAAAATAACTTGGAAATCCATCTGATTTATGAGACATTTCAACTGGAATAATTATTTATTCTGAACTACCTTTACAAGTATAAATCCGATTTTGCCCTTTTGGGGTCTCTTCTTTATAAGCTTTTGACACATTGTAACAGCTGTACATATATCTCTATTCCTATATCTATCTAGTCATCAAAGTGACACTTTGCTGATTAAAGTGTGTTTGACCCAAACCATAGTCTTTTCAATCGCCACATAAGCATGTGAAAGTTGAATAATGAAAAAGGAAGACAGAAGAAGAATTGATGCATTCAAACTGTGGTATTGGCAAAAAATATTGAAAATACCATGGACTACTAAAAGAACAAACAAGTCAGTCTTAGAAGAAATACAACCAGAGTGTTCCTTAGAAACAAGGATGGGAGACTTCTACTTATTTCCTTTGGACACATCATCAGGAAAGACCAATAACCCAAAAACCAGTTGCTGTGGATCCGTTCTGATTCATAGCGACCCTACAGGACAGAGTAGAACTGCCCCATAGGGTTTCTAAGGAGAGGCTGGTGGAGTCGAACTGCCAGCCTTCTGGTTAGCAGCCAAGTTCTTAACCACTGCATATCATCTTTGTTATACTGGAGTGTCAGCGAAAACAAAGAAAACCCTCCATGAGTCCAGAGGCTGAATCTTTCCCTTTTCCAAAGCCTCTGTTTGGAATTCCACTGAAGGAACTAACCTTAACCTAATCTTCCTGTACAATGTCTGCCTTTTTCACACACTTTTATCATTTGTCTCTGTTTTATTTAGTTTAAATGTTTTTTGGTTTTATTTGTAGAATGTGATGCTTCTTTTATTGTAAGCTGCCTCAACATAAACCAAGACCAAACCTGTTGCCATCAAGTCAATTCAGACTCATAGCAATGCTATATATTAATTTAAGATAACTCTGCTTACAATGCCCCGTGTAACCTGATACAAAGCCATAGTGAAAAGTCCCAATTCAATGGATATATGTCTAGATAGGGCTTCTTAACCTTGGAACCATTGACATTCTGGGCTGAGCTGAATAGTTCTTTGTTGTGGGGGCTGTCTTGTACATTCTAGGATGTTTACCAGCATCCCTGGCCTCTACCCACTAGTTTCAAATAGCGACCTCCTCCCTCCTCACCACCCAGTCTTGACAAACAAAAATGTCTCCAGATATTGCCAAATGTCCCCTAGTGGGCAAAATTGCCCTTGGTTGAGAACCACCTGTCTGAAAATTCTCCAGTAAACTTCCTAAAAGTGCCAGGAACCTGTTGTTGAGGAAAATTTCACAGCAAGGTGTGAGAGCAGGTAAGGACAATAGCGACAGGGCTTCTATCTGATTGTATAAACCAGGAACAGCAGTAAGTTGTCTGTATTACCGCCATTCACTACCTCACACTGTAGGAACTGATGTCCTCACCCTGTGTGTTCAGCCCACACAAAGTCCCTAAACTGAATCTGACCAAGGCTGGCAGCTTGTTAATTATCCTGCTCCATTGGTGGGTAGGGCAAGGAATTAGTTTTGCTCCCTTCGCCTGATACAACCAAAAACCAAATCCATTGCAGGTGAGTCGAGTCCGACTCATAGCAACCCTATAAGACAGGGCAGAACCGCCCCATAGAGTTTCAAGGAGCGCCTGGTGGATTCAAACTGCCAACCTTTTTATTAGCAGCGTAGCTCTTAACCACCATGCCACCAGAGTTACCATTTTCCTGATAGTTGTTCTAAAATAGTGTTTCACCTGAGAGCTGGTTAGATATGCAAATTCTGGGCCTGACCTCAGACTTTCTGAGTCAGAATTCCTTGGTGTGGAGCCCAGGAACCTGTGTATTTACAAGTTCTCCCGGTGACTTTTATGCATGCTGAAGTATTAGATGCACTGTTCTAGAATATACATGTTCCCTCATGACTGTGGCCTGTCCCTATAATTCCCATCACACTTGCCTTTGCTCCAGATTCTTCCAATTTGTACAGTTGAGTGGAAGATCTGCCCTGAAACTTAGCCCACTTGGCCAAAACCTGAAGCCATTTCCTTCTGCTGTGTTTATTTCTCCCTAGGGAGTGTATATGCTCAGTGTCCCCCGTGATTGACTAATGTTTTATTCTACAGAGATGGCCAGCTAGAACCACAACAGTTACTACCTACAGTGGTATCATCACTTGCTAAAAATTTTGGCAGTTGTATTTGATCTTCTCAGATATGAGCGCCGATCCAGATTTAGGCAAAATAATCATGTGGTTTTGATTGCTGTCCACAAGCCTCAAGGGCATCTCACAGCCTAATCAGACTCCTAGCCCTGGCCCCATGCAGTCTTTTGCCCCTCCTTGCTGAGGAGTCTCCTATTCAAGTCCCAACAAGCTTCACAGTTAAGCTTAAGTAGATATGTACATTACCAATAGATACTTGGACTGTGAGACTAGCAGTTTAAAGTTCCTAGCATGTCAGAGAACTGGAAAACAAAAAAGAATTTAGGTAATAGATTTGACTCAACAACACCATAATCTTTAAGTTCATCACAGAAATTGCTCATTTCATTTCTGATTTTTTAAAAAAAAATTTTCCCATACAAAAATTGTATTTCTGATATTTTTTAATGAAATAGTCTTCTTCCAAGGTATGTACAGGTGGAACATGTAGTGTAAGGGGTTCCACAGCAGCAGTGTAGCTGAACTGAAGGGGATATGACAGGGAATATGGAAGCAAGTTGGACTGCATTGATTAAAAGGTGGATTGGAGTAGATTATTCACTTCAATCCTGCTTCATATGTTTAGAAGTTTGGACATTATTACAATGAAGAGCTAATGAAGGATATATGTGTATGTTAATTTTTATTTTCATAAAGTAACTTGGTAACTTTACACCCATGTAAAGTTACACCCATGTTACTTCACCGAGGCCAAGTAAAGGCAATCCTCAGATTATGAAAGAGATCCATTCTTGAGGGTGTCTTTAAGAATTTGTAGGTAAGTCAGAACAGGTGCATATGATTTTTATTTAGCCTTTAGTGCAAGAAAAGGCTCAAAGCCTTTTCAGTGGTTTAGAAGCTGCACGTACAGCAAGTGAAAGTGATTGTGATGAAGACTTTGTTGTGAGTAGGGGTTGGTTCAGTCGTTTCAAAGTGAGGGCAAATTTACATAACATTAAAGGGCAAGTACGAATTGTCTGTAAATCGGATATTTGTAACTTAGGGAGTGCCTGTAATAAAAAATTTCCAACATTCAGAAAGGCCCTTCTGTCTCCTCGTAGTGACTACTTCCTTCCTTCTCCTAGAAAGAGCCACAATCCTGATTTCTGACAAGTTATTAGTTTTGCCTCTTTTAGAACTCGATGTAAATAACTTTTCTTATTATTGTATAGTATTCCAGTGCATGAACATACTACAATTTCTTTATCCAGTCTACTAGATTGGATTGACTACAAGTTTTGACTGTTATAAATACCGCTGCTATAAATATTCTTGTACCTATCTTTTGATGCATATGGGCATAAAGTTTTGTTGGGTATATATCTAGTTGTGAAATGGATGGAATATAGAATATGCGTATGTTCAACTTTAGTAGATAATACCAACTAATTTTCCAAAGTGATTTTATGAATTTAAATTCTCACCAGCCCTGACAGATTTTAAACAGGGGAATAACAAGATCAGTACTATGAATCTAGCTGTAATGTGTAAGATGAATTAGGTGGAGTTATTCTAGAACATAGAACATATTATTACAACAGTCCAAGTGAAAAATAATAAGATCCTTCACTTAAAGTAGTGAGTGAAGGCTAGGCAAAGACTAGAGATACTGGGGTCCGTAGTATCTCTTATTGGGATGGATTACCCAATCAGAAAGGTATGCACGGGTTTAATTGTGCTTACTTACTAATCTATAGACCACAATTGCACATGGGTTTGTGGTGAAAGTCTGTGTATATCATACTAGTTAATCCATCCTTATCCTTCACTATTAATCTGTGGAGGTAGGTTAGAAGGTGATTGGAGAGAAAGACAAAGGTAAAAATAAAGTTTTATTCCTGAGTAACTGGGAGGACTGTGGTATCAGGACAGTCAAGGCAAACAAGTACAATAATGAGTTTAAGTTGAGTTAGGATGAGATTAGAGTGCTGATGGAAATCACGAGG